TAAAAGAAAAGGTGTGAAAGAGTGTGAACAAAAATTGAAAACACAATGCTAGTGTGGCCTTAGGTAGCTCTTTGTTTGAGTGAGTGGTTGAGCTATTGGACCATGAAGTGCTATAATTAACCATTTTTCTTCTTTATCACCTTTCCAAACATGGACCCCATCAAAAATAGGCTGGTCTAAGCATTTTTTTTATTACTTATAAAGACATTGCTGAATTCTATGATGGGTGCAAGTCTGACTGAAGAAAAGGAACGAATTTAAGAAGTGGATTGGTTGATGACTTTGATGGCTATTGCTGCTTTCTAATCACACGTCAGCTAGGTGATGGGGTCAAGAGTAATGACCAACACAGGCTTTGAGTACACATTTTGAAGACTCGTTCTGAAACATTTTGCTCTTCCTCGTGAAGGAAATAATTCAACTCGAATTTTTCACTAGACTAGTCAAATGTGGAACGGCACAAAATAAATGACACATGCTGGGCTTAGGGTCCTGGGCCATAGGCCTAATGGGTTTCTGAAGTGATGATGAGTGTGTCCTTTGTAATTAGTGACCCAACTCGGTTTTGTCCATTTGTGTTTGCTATGAATGCTTATAGGTCAAGGCAGTACCCAATCCAAGGCTGTTTATGGTGTAATGTAATGTAAAGGCTAACTTTACAGATATGCATATAAACTGTGAGCCCCAGCTCAGAAACAGAAAGGCTCCATATATCACTATTTTTTTTTTTTTGTGTGTCTATAAACTCAAAAAGTAGATATTATGATAAAAAAAAATCATTTGAATGATTCATTAATATGATATTTGAATCTATTTTATTGAATTTTACGACAAGACAGCAAGAATATGAAATTGATCCCACTTAACTAAGTGGTTACTTGGAAAACTTGCAGGTCAACATAGAGAAAATCATTATGTGAGACTAATTATATTTAGAAACAAATAAATAACTCAAGAGTTTTACTTTTATCCTCTATCAGAGTATGATTTTTAAAATAATTATTACAGATAATAATTTATAAATTAAATAATAGTTTATATTATTAGTTTATTCTAATTAAATTCAATATCTAATAACTAATATTTGGACAAATAAGATAGATAAATATAACTAAAAAGAGATAGCAATAGAGAGAACTCAGTCAACTTTTAACGAACTCTAAATTAATATTATTGAATATTTTTAAACATGTTAAATAATTAATGCATATTTTTTTATTAAAAGTAAAATACAAAATCTAAATTTAATAATATTTACCACTAGCTAGACAAGATATAGACACAATAAAATATAACCACCCCTTAACTTTTTCTATTAACCTATCATGAATAGAGATGACATAAATATATATTCATGAGTAATGTTTGAATTCATTCCGATTTTAATGGAGAATATTTAGTTTGATCAAATACGGATTATTAAATTGAGAATGGAAAGAGATTGGAAAAAGATGAATATATGTCATCGCTTTCAATTTCTAAAAGTTTAGTTGTTGTTTTAAAAATTATTTGAGATTTATATAATTCTTATTCTATTTAAAATTTATGTTAGATGAAACTTAATTAATGTAATTTTTAATTACTTGAAATTCTTGCTTTTATATATATTTTTTGAAAAAAAAATAATTTCTGGATAGGTACACAAATTTCGCACCATCGAATATTGAAATGGGAACAGAAGTATTAGGATTCACAATCATCCCATTCCATCCCTATTCATTAAACCCATTTTTATTGTAATATTCTATACAACAAAAGCTAATTTACCTTGTATTGTCGAAATGCAGGAAAAGATAAAACAAAATGAAGAGAACTAGATGTGTGTGAAGAGAAGTGACAAAAATGGCTGTTTGAATGAGGAAAAAAAGGTTAAGGTGAAATGAAAGAATAGAGTGGGGAAGGAAGGAAAAGAAATGAAACCTGAATTAAAACTATAAAATTAGGATGTTAAAAATAGAGAAAAAGATGCTAAGAATAATGAGTAAATAGCTGCACTGGTTGCTAAATTTGAAAGATTAAATTAAAAAATTGTCAAATAAATTTTTAAAAATTTAAATAATCATTAATTCAAAATTAAAAAAATGTGACTAAAATGATGATAACATTATATAGAGTGAAAATACCGATAAATAATTAAATTCAAAATCTTATTTTTCATTTTAAAGATTTATTTAATAATTTTTAATTTAAAAAACTAATATAACGGTGACTTTAAAATTCGGAAACTTATTCTGATAATGACATGATCCATGTCAGTCCTGAACAAAAATCATTTGTTAACCCTACTATTTCTTTAGGTTTTAAACATGGATTTCTTCCTTCAAGTCTTCGGTTTACTTGGAGAAGCGATAACATTTTTTTTTGTCTTTGACCAAGATATCTGAACACGTATCTCTGTTGGTGTTAAACAACCTTGCATATGACGTATTCAAGCTAATTGTCAAAATCATTGAAATTGTCTTTTAAAATAACTTTCTGCTTTTAAAATAAAATTTGTATCCCGAGAAAACATCAAAGACCAAAACCATCATTTGGGAACAGATGACTAAAAGGCATTCTCATACACAACACAAATAATTTCCTTATTTTTATATTATAAGTATATATTGACAAGACAAGCCTTGCAAAACAAACGAGTCTCCACAAGAAAACAAAATACACGACAAATTTTATTTCTCATATCATTCACGATATCATCACTACATACAAACTAACACATCTTAATGACTGTACACATTAATGTGGAGCAGAAGGATGCACAGAATCAAACAAATTCAAAGCGCATGAGAAGCTTTACTGAGGTGTATTTTTCTCCCTTTTGGCTATACAGTGGAATTGCTCGAATGCCACTTCTTAGCTCCGCGATAGGTAGACATGTTTGTCCACCAAAGTCATCTTTCTCAGACATGTCATACTCATGAACTTCTATGCGAAGCAAGGCGAGTTCTGGAACTGTAAGAGGGAACTCGAATACCTCATTCCATGTAGGCAACCAATTATCCTCTATTGCTTTAGTTCTCTTCATTACAGTATCACTGGGGACTCCAGCAATCCCCACCTACATACAAAGTTCATCACATTACACAACAAATGAGCCATGAACTAGGTGAAAACTAAAGGGAAGGTATCATATGCAATATATACAAAGGTACAACTACCCTCTTATGAATTGAAAACGAATTGCTATGATAACAATCTCGTGCACTAAGTATATTTCCGCATGGATACAAGATATAAATGTTTTTGAAAATTTCTCTACTGAAAGTAGAATTTTTTATTTTTTAAGGAGAAAAACTCTCAAAAATGCCTTTAAACTTCTATCGAAACAAGTCCTATATCATCTTAACTTACTCTAGTGTAGAAGTCTGGAGGTGAGTATTGATCGAAGTGGGTATGCTTGAAATCATAGTACCATCCTTCCCCCATATATACAGTCACCTAAGAATAGGAAGAGTATGAACATTGTTAGTATTAAACTAGAGATGATACTTGAATGAGGCAGCAGATTGATGGAAACACCCTTGCCTTCAAAGTAGTCTTCACAGGTAACTTAGCTTTAGGATCAAAGACCTCATTATTTGGACCAGTCTTTAATAGAAAATCTGGTTTTTTAACATAACCACACCCTCCATTGGCTCTGAACATTCCATGCATCAACCAAAGTGATCTCCCATAACCCTGGTCATGAAACCAACCACAATAACAACCGAGTTATGTAAAGCTATATCGTAATCAATAATATACTTCATGACATGATGCGTGTAATGGCGTGCTACAACATAGGTGGACGAAGTGTGAATTGAATCTCACATACTAAATTGTGGAATCTTGCATGCAATAACACACATCAAGGGATTTAATAAATTATAAAAACCGTGCTAAATAAGGGTTGCCCAATTTGTCAAAAATCACATTGCTAGACATCAAATGTTCATTTTATAATTTGTATCACTAGATGTCAACCGTTTATTGAATTTTGTTGGTAGCTTTAAGGTTATCAATTTCTGCTTTCCCTTGCCCCCTCAGAAGAAACGAACCAATGAAAATGAAAATACAAAGCAATAGTTAAAATAAAAATTCCCAAACAGAAAAAATATTAAATAAGGCAAATACGAAATGGGGAATGAAGTAAATACCTGCATGTTAAATGCAACCATCTGAGCTCCATGCATCCACCCAATTAATGGGTTATAATTTGATGAGTCAATGCGAGTACCTTTGGGATACACCCTCAATATATTCCGCTGAGTAAACCTACAGCAAGCCAGCAATCAGAAAATAAAAAATAAATTCAAATACACAGACACATCACACACCTCTTATAATCTGTAAGACAAGATGATAAGTAAACCAACTATTAACATTAATAACTAATGTGTCAAACACTTATGCAATGCACCATCACGGAAGCACAATATATAACAGTTTTATACAGCTTTGTTTGGCAATAAAATGGTCATTCATTCAGAGACGAATTGAATTCAACCTTAAAAGGACTTGCTAGAAACATTTAACAATACCTGACAATTTCTTTTCCATGACTTGTAGCAGCCTTTTCAAGCTGTTGCTCACTTAAACTTAGACGTCTCACTTTGTCAGGATCCACTTTGAGGCATTCCGTTAATCCCCCTTTAGGCTTCCCAGCATGAATGGCAATTAGGCGTCTATATTCTGGAGCTTCATTATGCTGTAACTTGTCTGATTCATCAAATTCTTCATCATCATTAAGATCTTCATCCACATTGTTGTCC